CGCTATTTCACGGTCAGGGCGGCTAGGGTCTGGAACCAACTTCCAAGGGAGGTGGTGCAGGCTCCTACCCTGGGGGTTTTTAAGAAGAGGTTAGATGAACACCTTGCTGGGGTCGTTTGACCCCAGTACTCTTTCCTGCCATGGCAGGGGGTCGGACTAGATGATCTTCTCAGGTCCCTTCCGACCCTAGAAACTACGAAACTATGAAACTTTTGCCTCCTGATCCTTCTTTTCTATCCATTAAGCAACACCCCTCATGTCTTGCTCACCTGCTTTCACACTGTCCTTTCTGAAGTGACAGGACTAGGAATAAATGTCTCATTAAAAATAGGTCATCTAAGTTAGTGTTTTCATCTGTGGGGAGGAGGAAGGAAAGAAAGTGCTTATCTGTGATGTTTAGTGTGTGTAGTGGGAGTGCCCATCAGCACGCGCTTTATCTTCTCTTTTATCGTAGGCATAACTAAAGAAGAGAGAGATCAGCAGCTGAGTAAGCCTCCCAGCCTGTGGCCAGGGTCACTCCTATGCCCCTTTGCCTTACTTCTGTTGGAAGTTAGATTACAGTGCACAGTGACGTGCCTGTCCTGTGCATGAACGGAGTCCCTCCCTACTGCCATTTTGCCATGGGACTCCAGGTAACTCTAATGCCCTGCACAGGTTCTTGAGGGGAGTCCTTCAGGATTCTCCAGGTTTTCCCACTTTTTCAGAGATTATTGCAGTTGAGAAAAAACAAAAAACAGGTAATTAAAAAGAACCAAGCTTACACTAACAGCAGCATCAAGCTGCCTAGCTATCTTGCAATATAGAACCTACCACCACACAAGCCAAACGCCAGACCCTGTAATGGATTTATCCTTATCCTACCTTAATGAGGTAGTCTTAGCTTCCCCACGTCACGTATGGGGAAAATGGGGACCCAGAATAGTTAAGTGACTTGCCCACGGTCACACAGAAGATCGGTAGCAAAGCAAGGAATTGAACTTTGATCTTTCCAGCCCCAAGCTGGCAGCCAAACTACTGGGCCAACCTTGGCTTGCAGATAGGTTTAACTCAATGGAAGACAGTCTTCCAGATACGACAGTCACTTATTTTGTGAACACATCAGAGGCCAGTGCTACCACCTGTATCATAGTCACATTGCAAGATGCGTCATTTCAAGGGGAGAAAGTTCTAGAGGAAACTTAACCCTTCTTTTTGAAGGAGCCACACGGACCACAGTGAACCTATTGTGTTACCTCTCCAGGTATCAAATCCTGTCATGTTTTATGTAAGACAGACTTCTATATTCTAAATAGGAGCCAGTTTCAAAGCCGTTTTCCTAAGTTTTAGAGAAAGTCTCTCATAAGGCCAAACACTCTAGCTTGAGTATAGGAAACAACACACATACACACAGTCTTTTTCTGAGAAAAGATTACGTTATTTCACCTTGAATTTTAGATGGGGGGGAAAAAAAAAAAAAAAATCAGTTGATCAATCACAGGAATGCATTCAAATTTGTCTCAACAATATAATCTGTTTGCATAGTAGTTCATACTGAAGGATGCTACAGCCAAAAGAAAATTGTATATTTAAGGCTCAGTGCCCCCCACCCCCAAACAACAAAAAAACCAACCAACCAACCAAACACATCAATGCAGTCACCTCTGGAGTAGAACATGGCAGCCATTGAACACTGAAAAACTAGAGGAAAAACTCCTAGGGGACAAAATGCATCCCTATTCTTGTGAAAACCTCTATGACCACTTTGTCAACTATGAATGACTAGGATCTTGGTTTAAAAATTTCCATCCACAACAATAGCACTTCTAACATCAGTACCCCAGAATGCTGGGACCCCAGCCCAGATGGAACAATGCTGCCTATTGAATCAACAACAGTTTTGACTGCAAATAGGCTGCTCCTGCAGATTTTCCATCTAAATACTGAGCAACCCTACCACTTTCCACTTGCAAGTCATAATAAGATCACAGCCACAGAAGGCTGCAGGCTGTAAAGAGCCACCAATCTGGCTAGGATACAAATGTGCAGAAGCTCTCTCTTTACCAGGCCACTTTGTTGTGTAACACACATCCAAGATTAAAAACTCAGGTTGAGGAGACTCTGCCGCAGTCAAAAAACACTGCTACTTGAAGCAATGCCACTTATGGAAATTCCAAAGCTAAATGCTTCCCCTGGGACTAAAACACTGATGCTAACACTGTAGACTGTGGATGAGCAATGATCTATGGAGCTCTTCCAGGTGATCTGCAGAATGAGCCAGTTGAAGACCCAGGTAGCAAGGGAGGAAGGGGAGATATATTCATGAGGCCAGGAAGGGGAGATATGCTCATGAGAGGATCTTTCACTCACTTTGTGCTCTACAGATTTAAAAAATGAAAAGCCATAAACCAACACATCCTCTCTTAGTTCATCTGTTACCACTCTCACTTCCTACTCCTGCTCCATAGTTAGCCCTTTGTGGTAGCTTATATTTACTGTGACTGTCCACTGCTGTGAAAACTGTAGCAAATCTTCTCTCACCACTTCTTGACAACAGCAGATTAATGTCCCCAACACAAGACAAAATCCTGAGAGGAAGCCAACGCTACTCCTCCTTACCTTCCACTATGAGCCACACTTGCTGCGATTCTTCCTTCTTCCCCCTGTACTCAACCTGGCACCAGTACTTCCCAGAATCTGTCCGTTCGACGGATTTCAAGCTGAAACGAGTCAAAAACCACATTGATATTTTACATTATTAAAGCACCTGTCATCCCTTGCACTTGGCAAACCACATATGCACGCTGCACCACTGATATGTAGCCAGCTCTGAGAAGGGCACTAGAACCAGCACAAAGCATGCAGCACAACAGTGGAGAGAGGAGACTCCTACTTCTTGGAAAGGTGTTGAAGGGAGCTACATCCCTACACAGGGCAGACAGACCCTCATCTGAAATATCCACAGAGGGAACAACAACATGGCACTTCATTCAACTACCTTGAAAACATAAAGAAGTTAAGAATTAACTGGCAACTCCAGAGATCCAAGCTAATCTGCAAAGATGGGTACTAGGACAACTAAGCAATCCCTAGCCAGCAGCTCCAATCCATAAGCCTACAGAGAACACTGTGCTTTACTTGGGTGATACGAGTTGGTCTCCACGCCTTCATATAACAACAGGTGAGTCAGAACTGGATTGTAATATACTCAGCATTATTCTTACCCTAGGAATGCTCCTAGCTAACTGCTCTACTCATACCACAAAATGCACAGGGACAGAACCTCAACTAGTGACTTTAGTGGAGCTCTGCCAATTTGTCATTTGGGCCAAATTCTGTCCTCACAGAGTCAAGCTGTTGTCAAGAGAATTGCACCTCTGCCAGTGAGGGCACAACTGGAGCCTACTTGATATCAAACTAATGGACTTCAAATCCAGGGGAGAAATTCTGCTCCTACTACTGTAAATCTGAGGTAACCGCATTGATTTTAACACCATTCCCCGAGATTTACACAGGTGTGACCAGGGGCAGAATTGGGCTCCAGGAGTGAAGACTCCATAGTCTCCTGTACCAAGGAACCCAGTTGCAAACATCCTTTGATCATACAAATACAAAATGCAGCCTCGTGATGTTGCGACCATGCATCTGCTGCCATGCAGGAAGATCCAATGCCTGCTTTTCTGATGGCATCAGTTGGTCCTGGGGATAGGGTGAATGTGCAGGGGTGGAAGAGAGGATGGGGAGAGTGCTTGCTGAAATGCACAAAGTGCTCCTACTATAGCCTGATTTTCAGAGCTGTACCTTCAGATGAAGTCAGCTGTTCTGCCCATCCAGCCGCATGCTCTGAAACAGAGTGATTGTAGGAGAAAGTCACAAAATGGCGTGTGGTTGAAACAATTGCTTCAGGAGAAGAAAGGAAACAGAAGGAAGATATGGCCACATCTAGATCCAGCATCCAGAATTGGTGCTGGAGCTGAAGAATTTTATTTTCAGTTGAGAAGGATGAAAGGATGAGAAAGGGCTCTGGAGATCAGGCCATGGGAATGATAGCAGATAAGCAAAACAGACAGGTCCCTCATCCAGGCAGAAGGTTCCTAGGCCAATTGCTTATGTGATGTAATGTACGAGGTGAATTACTGTACATGGATTTTTCTTATCCAAGTAGTGTTTACTGGAGTCTACATTAATCATAGGGACTCTTCTAGGCTGTTAGTGGAGACTCCAAGTTAAACTAATCCAAAAAGCCTTGAGGAGAGGGGCCCTGTCTTTGGGAAGGGGCAATTCTAGATTGAGTCTGGCAGTTCCAAATACTCAGGCTTAGGGCAAACAGAGACAGAAAAAAAAAAGCCGTGTTCAAGATGGAGCTTGAGATCTTGCTTAACACAGCAGTATTCCTAGAACAAATTAGAGTTCACCTTCTGCTGATGAAAAGGTATGGAGGACCGGCTCCAGAGGCAGTATTACAAGCCTCTGAGTAGAGCCAGCCTGGAGTAAGAGTGCTATTCTTGTGGAATGACTAAGAGATGGTGTGCATGATAAACACTCTGCTCCACACAAGAGTGAAACCTGGTCTAGGGAGTCAGATTTTAAATTAGAGCACCTCACCCTTTTAAATCAGAAAGAGAGGAGTGACTGAGGAAGAAAAACATAAATGAATGTGAGAGCGAATATATTTATACAAGTCAGACTTTAACCCTCCAGCTGGACTGCAGAGTTTCTTACAACAAATGAGGTGAAAATATCTTACAAATACTTGTTTGTTTTTTCTACCTAGTGCTCTTAAAAGAGCCTGAATGCAAGCCATAGAAAGTGAAGTCTGTTATCCAGAGAGCACAGACAGCATGGACAGAAGTAGCACCAAAGCGTGGCACGCGAAGGTATTTTGCTTGGCAAGTGAGCCTCAGGGCAGACAGTGGGGGAGCCATGAGGGGCCCAATCCTTGTTGTGGCAATGCAGCCTCAGCCACTTCCCCACTATCCACCTTGACCTGCTACCAGCAACAAGCAATGCCAGGGTTTCACAGACCCTGGTGCAGCTGCTTTCAGCCTCTCCGCTGCCTGCTGTGAGCAGCCCAGGCTCCCTAGTGGGCACGCATGCCTAAGGACAGACAGTGATGAAAGGGCTGGGGCTGCACCACCACAACAAGGATCAGGTCCCTTGCAGCTCCCCTGCTGTTTACCCCTGGCACACCAACATCTTACAAGTCAAGGTTGCAGGTGTTTTTGGTACTCTGTCCAAAAATGTTGCCAACCCCCAGTCTACTAAGACGCCCTCAAAGTGTAAGGCTGGCCTACACTGCCAAGACTTCACGTCCTGTTGTGCAGCACACCCTGTTTACTGGCTCCCACTCAGCATGCGCCAGATTCCAAATATGAGACAATGTTGTTGCCTTAAGCAGTTCTGAGGAAGTGTCCCACCAGACTCAGACTTTCTGTCTTAAGTGTGGTTACTGGTGTGTGCTCAGTGCCACCCTAAGGAGGATGGGTGCCTTGGCCGCATTCTGGGATGTCGCATGTGCTGAGTGGTAGCAAGTAGGTGGGAACGCTTTGTGGTGCCTATTCAGGGCACAGCATGGAGGTGGTGCAGACAAGCACTCATTTCTCTCACCCATTCAGGCCTCTGCTGAGACTGCTAACAAGGCCATTAATTCTGGTGGTGGATAGCTATTTACTAGGAACTGGGCTGAGACCATTAACCTACTTCTGACCTTGGATGAGACTTTAGATAACAATGACTTTTAGCCACAAATGAGTGAAGCTGGATTTGAATTGGAGCATTACAGCAAAAGACTCCGCTTCCCATCACTGATTTTTTCGGCCATTCTGTTGCCTGTAATGATTTGTTACAGCATCGGCACACCATTCAGATACGTATACAACCCAGAACTGGAGACAGGTTCTTAAATTATTTTCTTCAAAAAGGGAGAGGAAAGAAAGATAGCTAAAAACATCTTCACAATTTCAGCCCATGGACAGGATAGCTGGTGGGATAAAGAATGCCTTTTACCTCAAGGTTTCCCGTCTGTCTATCATGGCTATTTGCAAAGCACCCATTACCACAGCATCTAGGAACCTAGTCCGATTCCACCAGCTAGAATTTAACTCACCTTGGTGATCAACACTGTAGGTCAAATTCTGCTCTCAGTTACCCCTGTGCGCTGCTGCTATAACGACTCATCCCCAGTGTTGTGTGTGGGGTTGCACAGATGCACCCAACAGCAGAATGTGACCAATTAGCTTTCATGATATCCTTTCTTCTTCACACATGTAGTACCTGAGAAAACCGATCCAGTGTTCTTCATCTACTGGAATGTACACCTGGTCTACACCCTGCACCACAGCTCCATCCTTCATCCACAACATCTCTGGGTCTTCCATTCCCTCGAGGGTGCAATTTAGTTTCACGGGCTGACCCTGGGACACCTTTAATTTGATTGGAGATCCTGTAAATTTCGTACCTAAAAAAAATACTCCTCCTCCCCACCCCCAAAAAGGCGGGTTGGAGTACAGCAAATTAATCTAGGTTGGTGGGCTATAATGCAACACAGTACAAGAACACACTACAGAGTCTAAAACTGCCTTGTCAGAGCTTTAATAGGTTTGTTTAATGATTATGATTTATAGATTTTAGTTACCCCAAAATGAAAGAGGTTTAATCTATACAGGGTATTCTCATAGCAATGCCAGTTGGGATAGCAGCAGGGCAAGCTTCTACACACAGTAGTACCAGGTCAGGGTTATACAGAAACGCCGTCGGCATCCCCGCAGCAATAAGCCAGCTGTGTTGATTGCTTTCCTGCCACAGAGCCATGGCTCCCCCAAATCCCCTCTTGATTTGCAGCTTCTATGATATGTTCCTGTGCTATTACTAAATAACAACTTTTGCTCTGTTGTACACATTTGTAAAGAACTGGGATTTTAGACAATCAAATCATAGCAGGTTCTTCAGTGTATGCTGTGCCACTGCACTACAAAAGCTCCAGTGCAATTTACAAAACCCATGAAAGTGAAGCCTGCTTTAAAGCATTCCCATGCCAGGAACAAAAACTATATACAGATCACAGTTTTTCTGTAGTCTGTGGCAGGGGAATATTTCAACCAGTAAGTATATCCCATCTCACTCTACCCACCTCCCCTTTGCCAGGCCAGAGATACAGGGCCAGATTTAGACCTCAGGTTATACCAGTGTAATCTCAGAGTAATTCAATTCAAATCAGTGGGATGATTCAGGTTTACACTGATGTGAAATTATTAGTATGTCACACATGCATGAATAAGGAGCATTGCCTACTGTCAGAAGCAAATGCATGGAACGTATTACCATGTAAAAACATGGAAGCCAGTATTGTAAGTACATGTAAAGGATGCATGTATATGAAAAATGAAAGGATTAAAGAAAGCCATAATAGAAAAGGGACAGTAAAAGATAATAGGCAAGTGACTTTTTCTTGACCAACAGCACAGGGACTAACTAGAACAAACCACTGATTCAATCTAATCCAATATCTTGCTTTTGGTAGCAGCCTACACTGGATCCTCCAGAAAGGCGAGTCTTTTCACCACCTGACCAGCTGTGTGGCAATATATCACAGTACACAATGATCCTAGCTCTTCTCATACATAGATCACTTCTGTAATAAAGGTGGCTTACTAGCTTACAGTGCTTGAAAGAAAACACCTGTGCAATCAACATTACATTCAGACACAAAGCCCTCTGCTTCTCAAACTTTTTGTACAGCCTGTGAATAATCTCTCACACGCCACTTTCCTTTTTGCTGTCACGTCAAAAACCTCTGGTAACTGTGGCAATTGCTCACATAACAAAGCAACATCAGGGAAATATTTTGTGTATTTTCTGTTCTGTTTTAGGACCTAGAAGTCAGGAGGATGTGCCACAACTGTGTGACAAGCCAGCTTTCTACACATCTACTACAAGTCCTTTATGCTGTGAGGAAAAGCTGACAACTCCTGCAGAAGAAAACAGTTAAGAGCTGGTTTCTCACCTCAAATCTTTATCCTTCTCCTATTTGCTATTAATTTAATAAAATTTACCAAGAGCATGGAAACTGGTAAAACACATTTTATTTTAGATGTAGCTAGGCTAAAGAATTAATTACTTGAAAAAGATGATCTAACTTGAGATTACTTAACTCATCATGTAGCATAAATTACACGTCCCCATGCATAGCAGAAAACATCCTTCTTTTTTGGGCATAATGTCACAACAGGACACTAAACTTTCAGAGCAAATCTCTCTGTTATATAAATCTAAGGGAGCCAGGTGGTTAAATGTTCATGCATATTGACAGATGCTTATTCATAACATGTGCCTCAACAAAACAGCAAACTACACAACTTCTTATAATCTGCTTTGCTGAAAGTGTTAACCATAAAGTACATAAAGAGATGATCTCTTTGGAAGCCTTTTAAGGCTTCAGTTTCCACCCAAGCTGATGATGCAAGAAATCAAAACAGTGCTAGTATATGCTTTACTTGGCTGTTTTCAACAGCACTTCTAGGTAACGCACAAGTACAGTTGACCTGAAAAGAAGAAAGAGGAACAGGAATAGTAAACAGATTTATGCTTCTGTCATCAATAATAATACACTGTTCAAATTGCAGTGCCCTTTTCTAGTGATGACAGGAAGGTACACATAGACAACTTGGTAAGGACCAAATATATTTTTTTGGGTAAAATTTCAAGGGTTCACTATGAATGCTTATTTCCAACTATACTTCTCACTACCATCCTACTTCCAATTTTTATCTAAATATGTTTCTACCGTGCAGGTTACAAAGACTCGGACTCTAGTTTTTCCTTTTTCCTCAAAGCACGTGGAAATTTGTTAGGAGTAGAAATTGAGATTAGTACCTGGTTAGAAAATAAAATCGTATCATGTTCTTATTGACTAATTGTCAGGCAGATGTGAGAAGGACGGAGTGCTAGGCTGTCAGCATATGCAGCATTCCTTGTTTTCTAGCTCACTATTGATACATGCTTTGATTATAAATGACAGAAGTTAATTGAAATTGCTCTTGGAGTTGAGAGAGAAAAATTGAGAGAAAGGCCAACAAGTATTTCCACTCTAAAAGCAAGAGCTCCTCATTAACCCAGCCCAGCAAGCAAATCCACAAGGCAGATCCTTGAAATCAATGTACTCAGCCTATGTGGATCCAAATGCAAAACCAAGAGAGAGATTCCCAATAAGGTCAGTTAGTGCAAAATTTGTGTGTGCAAGAAGTGCAGGATTATGCTTCTATACCTATGGCTGGGGTAAAACTTGGGGGAAAAAGTCAGGTGAGAAGGAAAGCAAACAAAAGCCAGGGAGAAAAAGATTATCACCTGGCCTTCCCATTTGGCAACTCCAGCCAGGCAAATAAGGAGGGGAACAATGCATTTGCAAACACTCTCCCTGAGTCACCTAGCATTTGCTACTTCTTTCATTCGCAGCCAAATCAAGTTTGCTGCTTGACGCAACGCACACGACTAAGCTGCAAAGATTCATCGAAGCTAAGGTGGGACCTGTGCTCCCAAGAGGACTGGTGCCAGAAGTGCTCTCATCACCATTTTGAAAGAGCTCTTCTGACTCCTGGCAGACTGGCCTCCCAGGCTCAGCAGCTTTTCCACCCTGCTTAAAAAAACGTGTGGGGGGGCGTTTCTTTCTGGCTGGGAAGCTCAAGGCCAAGAGTGTCAGACACCGGTGCCTCCATCCCTACGCTGAGACCTGCAAATAAGCTCCCTCCCTTTTCAAGAGCGACGGGCAACCCCCGCCTCCCCCCAAAGTCAGTCGCAGCTGACAAGAGCCGTGGCATTTGGGAGACAAGGACCTTGTGGTCCAAGTGTGCGGTGGCCTGAAGGTCTCCGAAATCCAGGGGCTGGTGGCGGGATCCGCGCCCAGGCCCTGCCGGCTCCCGCGGGGCTGGTGGAGCCAGGCCACTTCCCCAGGCTTCGCCACAGGGGCCGCGGGGGCGGCTCGGACCGCGGCCGGGGTAAGGGATCGGGGGCTGGAGCAGGCCCGAAGCCCTCCAGAAACACACATACAAAAAGGGATCTGGAGCCACGTCGCCGCGGCTCTGCCAGCACGATCCGGGAGCCCGAGCCGCCCCGGCG